TCGCCACACCAGCGCATTAACAGAAACACACACACTGGCATAAAATCTGCTGAGCCGTCCGTAAAAGTGTTTCAGTCACAGATCTGACAGGAAGCACACCAGCAGATGACTGGGAAACTGTAGCGATGCAAACTTTCCTGACCCCTCAGACACTCCTGGGTTTTAGACCACTCCCATTTGCATCGCCACAAGCGTTGACGTTTAATAGGTGAAAGTAAACTGAAAGGAGGTTGTTTGCTTTTCAGGACATTCTTGTTTTCTCAGGAAAAACACTCAACACTACTATTAAGAGCAAATAATGTTCATCTAACACACAACATGATGAGGATATTCTAAACTGATGCATGAGTCTAAAATCGCACTCTTTCTTCTGGACTTTGGATTTGACCACAAGTAAAACTTTTGTTCTAGTTATTACAGTCAAACATTAATCATTAGGTTCAGAGGAAAAACAAGTGGACTACCAAGAACTTGATCCCTTTCTGCAGAACTGGGGCTGCTTGTAATGCACCTCCTTGCAGAGAAAGGGCTCTGACGCTGCTGGGCCTCACAGCTGCAGCTTCGTCCAATGAACTCTCTCCCCTGTGGGGAGGAGGGAGGTGGGTGAACCCAGAGAGACAAAAGAGAACAGAGAATGTACCCTCTTCATCTTACATAATAATCCTCCACGATATGCACATCTTTCACTCTGGATCCTGCAGTCACCTCAGGCTAGAGCAGAGTGAAATGAACTCAAAAGCAGCTAGAACGTCCCCCTGCAGCACTCTACGTGTCTTGAGAAGAGGACATAACTGCAGAGAGAGTTGCATTACAGCTTTTAAAACTCCTGTTCAACCTGCTTGCCCCTCCTCAGGAAAGCACAGAGGGTCAATATTACCACAGCGGAATGCAATGTGACGTGCTAGGCGCAGAAGCTTCATGCAGGGAAAAGCTGAACTATTGTCAGTGTCCTGCCTCCAATCTCTCAGCCAAGTCTGCGAAAACTGTCCAAGGCAAGCATCTTTTTAATTTGGGTAACCTACCTCTGTTTCCTCTCTCTTGAATTAGTGAAACCATATCTCGAGGAAACAGAGTAGGGAAATAACTTTGTTTTTGCTCACTGTCCACAATAGCTAGTGTGTGCCAAAATCCACTGAAAGGCACTTCAATAAAAAGAGAATTTAACAACATGTGTTTTAATGGAATTATAAGCTTTAAGCAAAAAGTATGAGTGTCAAATATAAAACACAAGTCAAATTCAAGCTTGAAGCAGATCAATCCATTCATCCTCTCTCCCACTCACACTTTATGTCAGTTTGTATCTACCCTTATGCATAAAAACAATAATCCCAAAATGTAACGTCACATTAAACCGCGACAGAAATAAAAAAAACACCTTTTCACAAGTTCACCTAACTCCCTCCTGAGTGCCACATCAGCAGCGCTTTAGTATTTACTCCCCTCATTCATCTTTCTCCTCACGCGTTATCACACTCGTTACACCGCGCGTGTAGACCCAGCACTTGACTTCTTTACCTCCTTCAGCTCCTTCTCTATCTGCACCGCCCGCTGCACTATGGGACCTCGGACCGCGTACTCGACCCGCTTCACATTGGGGTTCATGTTGTCCAAAGTCAGCACCTTGCCCCGGGACGGGACCCCGTTCACTGTCTGCTGGGACATTTTTTTTTTTTTAATTTTAGTTGTTGTTGTTGTTCTGTCAGGCGCACGCCGTTTTCCGCCGATGTCACTCTCTGGACCTGAAACATAAAAGAAGACTGAGAGGTGGACACAAACTCGCGGCTGTACACGCGCTGGTGAAGTGTATCAGCTGTTACCAGTCGCTCCGCGGGGATAATGGAGTAAGTTGAGCTGTCGTGTTTTTTTCTTCCCCTCCTGCTCCTCTGAGCTCCAACTGACAGTTATGTCTCTCGCTGTTCATATTCCCACTCGACCACGCCACGCCTGCGCCCGCTCCCGCTCTTGGTTGGTCGGATTTCTTCACTATCCTCGCCTCTGGCTTCAGCGTGCCAAATGACGCATTTACGTGCTGTCGGAACAACTTTAGCTCAAGTGGCCCGAAAGAGAAAAAAAAGGCTTAGCTTGAAACGCTTTAAATTAAGAGGCGACGTTTGTTTGTAACAGGCTTGGCTACTTGGGTATTATTACGTGTCACTCAAGTATTCATTCGAGTATTAGCGATATAAAAGCACTGTTTCATTCAAAACTTCAACCGGTATCTCGATTTGTTTCTGCCACTTGAACGCAGCCAATCACAGCATGGTAAACAACTTGTGAAGTTGATATGGCAAACTGTGCCTATTAGCATTAATCTGAGGTCGTGTGTGGCCACCTACAAGAGGTCAGGTTAAACAGGACATTTGACAAATGAGATATTAACTGTAGGCTTTATAGCAGAGGTGATTCTGTGGCATGGAAAGGCTAAAAAAAAACAAAAAACTGGTTACCACCACCTGTCAAATGCTGTCAATTTGAACAGATTCATTTAGATGATTTTTTAAGATTTGGAAATAAAACTATTGATTTCTATTCAGTGTTACTAATGTGCCACAATAATGTAATGTTGAGTGGAAAATATCTTCATTTGGGGGCTTTTCCAACCAAATACTGATAAATGTAATTGTTTGCAATCAAATCAGAATATATTTCTGCCATTCTCCATGCTATGCCACTCCATGAATATTTCTCCAGATCCGCCCCTGCTATTCATTCTAGTGTAAGTTAATCATAAAACAAGTGAAGTGATACCAACTTTTAAATGATTTAGTCTTGCTTTAAGCTTATTTTTAGAATTCAGTTCCACATTAAAGCAGTTGCATGATCTTTTTGACTAATAGGATGCAATGTTGGCAATAACAATGTCTTGTTAGTGGCACATTAACTCATCCACATTAACGTGTAAATTTTTTCAAATTGTACTTAGCCACCTGGGGAATATAAGGGGAAATATTCACCGCAGCCTTTAGCTTTGTTTTGGTCTCCACCAACTGCTGGGGAAAATATCTGGCTACTAAATATTAGACTGTTCACCAGTGGGTCACTAACTTTGTCTGCCCTTTGAAAATGCAGGCTGTAAAAAATGTATCATATTTTATAAGAAAATCATGGGTTTTGGATGAAAATATGATAATCTGTAATCTAAAAAGTAACTAGTTGCTACATCCCTCCATCCACCCATAGCTATACCATCTTAGTCGTCAAATATACATTTTCCCCCTTAATGTGGATGTATTACGTAGCATACTAAATCACAGTAATATGATCAAGTTGTCTTGGAGTAAATGGACGTCTCATAACCATTAACACTGAGGAGCTTCACATTTAGGGTTGTGCGATTGCCACTGTGACATTGGGTTCTATATCTTACTGTACAACACTGCTTGGGTGTGTGTCGCATTGGTCTCGCAAGGAATCATGGGGCAGCATGTTTTGTCAGGGATCCTTTAATCTGTCATGTGCCTTGCATTATGAACAGGGAGATTTTTGAGAAAGACCCACGGATTGAGAAGGTTAATGCAATTTCTCTTCCGACACGGTTAATATAATTAAGTTGACAGAAATAGACATAACTGTATATCACACCCATTATAAGCAAGTCAAAGTCTGTTTCCCTATAGAGCTGCCCTTTGTGGTTGGGGTTAGGGGTCGCAGAGGTGGCTGGTTGGGGTTAAGGCAGGTTCAGGTTGAGTTCAGGTTAAGGTACACGAAGGGGAAACGGACTGAGAAACAGTTTTAGCATGAAGGTGTGGGGCAGTCAGAGATCAGCAGTTAATCACAAGCCATTTCGACGTTTCCCACAGAGCCTGTTGTATGGTTCACAGAACTTCTCATGTCTTTATTAACCCAGTAAGATTATAATGTGACAGAGAGTTGGTGTAAGATGACTTCACACCAGCCTCTGCCCTTACAAGGATGCATCAGGGAGTGACAATGCCCCAGAACAGCCACAGAGTTAAGATTGTGGAAGGACAAGACAATTTAACAGCAAGTAGACGCTGAAATGCAATAATCTTCTTTTGCCTGTCTTATGTTTGGGAAGGGAAAGAGAGCCACAGAATCAGCTGTCTGTATGTGAGAAGGACAGAGTCTGTGAGAGAGAGAAAGCCCCCAGATGTCTTGGAAAGCGCTTGGGAAAGACATTTGATATCCCAAACTAAAACGGTTCACATACAAGCATGTGATGCCCCGGTGACTTACGTATGTCACGCAGTACATATTTTGGCTGTACCCCACGACACAGTCTGTTCCATTTAGCCTACACCTAATTTTAAACAGATTGTCACATAATAGATAATACTTTAAAATAGCTCTCCAATAAGTAAAATATAAGGATTTGAAGATTTATGGCATCAATCTCAGCAGCTCAGCAGCCTTGGCTCGCAGTCACAACATGTCTGAACATAAAGCAGGTTCCATTTTTAAACACACCCCTTGCACAACTGTTACCAAGGCCACAAACATGTCCTGGACAGGGTTAAAATCTGTGTGCATGTATGTGCATGTAGAGGGTAGAGCTGAAATTCTAGTTAGCGCATCTTAAAAGGAGAATCAAAGACAAGGCTGCAGCTTGTAATGCCACAGTAACCTGAAACAAGCACTCTTACAGTTTTATCTACATGAAGTGCTTTCATAACTTGAGTGTACTGGAGTGTTTACTATTTGTGTCATGTGCTGCCCTGGCAAATGGATCAGGACGGGCTGTGATGTTCGAGATGAGTGAGTGTCTGTATGATGTAATAGGAAGAGAAGCAGCACTGGAGGACATGCATGTTAAATGTGCAAGTTCCCAAATCTACCACAGGGGGGAGACTTTAGGTATAAAGGTCAGTATCCTGTCTCTTCTTCTAACCAGAACACCATCATTTGACCCTAAACTGGCTTCCAACATAATGTATATAAAAAAACTAATTTTAAACAATACCCAGAGACATAAACAGTAACAATGACCAGATTAATTAAAGAAAACCATGTGCATCAAAAAAAAAAAAATGCAAAAAACATTTGTGAAAACATGTTTTTATGTTTTGTTTTTCTAAACAGGGCTCAGTAAAAATCACTAACAAAACTGAAATGCAATACAGAAATTAGAGTGCATTGAAAGCACATCAAGTTGGAGTCCATGTTTGATAGATCATTTGATCCCACTGCTCACCAAACTTGCATGTGGGATTTTGTGCAAGCATTGCAAACCTATATCAAATCTGCCACCTAAAGAAGGCACCAACCTTTGACAAATAATCATATGACAAGTTTACTTGGTTTGACAATAAAACTATATATCATCTCTTTTATAAATATCTTGCCTTCATACTTTCATCTTTAAAAAATAGTACAAGAACTGTACATCATAAGCCATATTCAGTATCAGATAGAATAAATAATGTGATTTCATTCAGAGGGTAGAAAAATAGAAATACTGACAGAAAAATAGAATTCTAGAAGTGATAATGTTGGACTGATTTAAATATGGATTAGCTCACATGATTTTAGAGACAAAACTTAATTTACAAATTGCAGCATTACAAATATTGAAATGTAGGCTAGTTGTGCACTGGAAAAGAAACAAAAGACAACTTCAGTATATTTTCAGTCCAAGAAAAAAAAAAAAAATCAAGCAAGGAAACAGTCCATGTTTGTGTGAATGTAAATTCAGAATAGCAATACTGTATACTGAAACTGTTAGGACCAGGCAATCTCCCAACAACAAAATAAACTCTTGCTTATGATGTAAATCTATGCAAATCACCTACCCTTCATAGCACTCAGTAAAGAAAACATAACTTTAATCTCATTCTTAATTTAAAACAAATCATCTTTCAATTCAATTTCATTCAGCTTTTACATGATTCTAAGGCTTTTCAATGAAATGTCAATCTAAAGTAGTTGAGTAGTGCGGTAAGAGAGGAGTAAAGTAATGAACAAAGACTAAGTAAAGTAAATATTTGCTTGTGATTGAAACACTGGAATCTGTAGTTCTCGTCTGAGTCACTGAATAGACACCTGATGTGCAGCCCCTAAATAAGAGGGAGCAATAGGAAATGCTAGGACCAATAGTGTAAAGTGTGTATCTTGTTGATCAGGAAATGGTTACGGGTAAATAGAAATTCAGTGTAGATCAAACCCTCATTGGCATGTGGCCTTAACTTAGAGTCTTCAATAATTTCAAGCATGTCTGTTTTGAAACGTTTTTGCCACTTTGGAGTATAACATGCCCAGCTCCTCTACTCTGTAGACGGTGTGTGTGTGTGTGTGTGTGTGTGTGTGTGTGTCAGGCTGTCTACATGAGTCCACAGCAAGGCTCCTTATTGTTAGACTGATCCTCCTCGGGGGCTCTGAGTTTCAGCAGTGGAGGATCTCCACTGGCAGGGGTGAAGTATACCTGGCTCGGGGAGGCCACATCCTCTGTGTTGGGGGTCATTTGGAGCTCTGGCTGGGCCTGAGTGGTTGTTGCCTCGGCCGCTGCAACAGAAGGCTCCTCCTCTAAGGGAGGGGGCAGGGGTGGTGGAGGCGCTGGGTACTTATTGAGCTTGGCAGCTGCACGCTGGCGTTTCAGGTCAGCCAGGGTCTGGTGCGATTTCTCCCGTGTCATACTGTCTGCCCCCTCACCATCTGCAGATCCAGGCCCTAACCCGGCTCCGGATGCAGGGCTGAGCTGGTAGGAGGCGCTGCGCTCCATGAGACCTCCACCACTCCACAGCTCTCCGGGTACAGAAGAGGCCAAAGAAACAGAGGTCCCACCATTACCTAGGCTGGACACAATGTTCCTGTCGGCAGCCTCCAGTTCCTCTAGACGTGATGTGGCTCCCCCACCAGCGACCTGAAAGAAAAGACCACGTGTTGCTTCAACTCTTTCAAAATGTGACAATGATGACATCTACAACACTGAGCTTGCTCACCATGGTGGCATGCTGGTTTAGTTCATTGTCCGTTTGTCTGTCTTCATCGTCGTCGTGTGGCTCTGGCTGTCGTCCGCGCTCCTGCCACACCATGGCCTCTTTGTGGTGCTCCCGCCGGTACAGGCTGGAGCGCTCGTTCACACTGACACGACGTACCACCTTACTGCGTAGACAAACGAGAGAGAGGGGATCAGTAGATCTCCATCTTCATGTATAGTTTTGTTTTTCAGCATCTGGTTCCCATGAGCTCTCTTTATCCTGGCCTTATGTTCCCTCTTACCCTCTGCTGCCAGTACTAGATGCTCGTCTTTGCAGTGTGCCCTTCTGCCGGTCCTGGTTCTTCATGATGGCATCGTGTTTATGCTTCAGGTCCATCAGTTTGGCTCTGACCTCTTCGTCCATACACACATCTGAAAAGGCAGCAGGAAAGGTCAGACACCAGAAGATGTGAAAGGAAAGATGTTAATTAGAAAGCTATAACAGAGGTATTTCATAAATGGGTCAGGATAATTAGTTCCTCTTTTACCGGAGGCAAGGGAATTAGTATTACATCAAAAAAGGTGAAAGGTACAGTCATTTACATTATTTTGCCATGAGGCAATATGGGGCAAAAAAGGCTTTCTATTCTTACCCAGAGGCGTCTCCTCCAGGACAGACTTGGTGTTTAAACTGGCTCCATGGGCCACCAACAGTTCCACCATTTGGATCTATGGAACAAATTCAAACAATGCTATTAATTGGATTTTGTTTTAAAGTGTAAGGTTCTTAAGTTTTGGTTTGTCTGCAGCTCTTACTTGTCCCCAGCAGGAGGCAGCGTGTAGAGGCGTCCAGCCATCAGAGTCCTTCACTTCCACCTGTGCCCTGTGCTCTAGCAACAGTTCCGCCACAGACATGTAGCCGTTAGCAGACGCTATATGGAGCTGGGAGAGATAGTCAACATGTATCATTTAAGTGTTGACCAAGGGAGGACAACAAAGTCTAATTTTCTTTTGGCAGAAAAAAAACACCCCATGTAAAAAAACAAGTCCAAATGCATTCAGAAAGAGCCAGACAACGGCATAGATGTCTTTAACAGATGGTATACTGCTGATTTTATTCTCTACTGCAGATTTAAACTTAATTTATACTCTTAGTCCAGACCTTAATTTCTTGGCAGAGCTGCTGCAGTCTGCTCATTCACTATCCTACATTTTCTCAACTGTGAATGTACCCGGGAATCACAAATATGCTTAAAATCCCTGGTCTGCCATATCCTTATTTATAACTTTTATCTTTACACAATGTGTGTCTCTCTGTCTCACCAGTGTTGCTCCATTATCATCCTGGGCGTTCAAGTCTGCTCCGCTCTGAACCAGAGCCCGAATGTCAGCCAGCATGGCCATCTCTTTAGCCCCGCGACATTCATCTATACGGTCCTGAGTTATCCCTACACACACAAACACACATGTTGTTGAGATGTGTTAAGCTTGTATAAAAAGATTTGACAATCGGTATTAAAAATGCTTTTTTGCTCCAAGAAGACATTTGATTTGACTCAGCTCACTGACCCTGTTCAGCCATAACCATCTCCAGTAGCTCAAGGGTGGCCTCATCCTCACAGAGGTCATAGGGCATGTTGCCATCTGCATTGACAGCCAGCAGGTCAGCCCCACTAGAAGCACACAGAACACACATATGCAAAGACAATTGGCTTAGAGCACTACACAGTGACACACCCTAATCTCAGGTACTCAGCCAAAAAAAAATATTCACTCACTTGCAAAGCATTTTGAAAGTCACAGGCCACATTTGCATTGTTTATGTAAAGTAGATACTTGCACCAAGAAGGCTCTCTGGCCATTTCTGCTTTGGTCTAGAAAGTAATGTTTATTCTGCCTGAATGTAAGAATATAGCAATGTTTATTTTAACCCAGTTGAGACAAATCTCCACAAAATATCATTTTGTAGATTTCTACATTTTGTTATGACAACAGGAGAAACCTTCTATGGTAGAAATGATGCAAAATGTGGGGCTGCAGCTGAGTAAGAGTATGAATTAATTGGAAAACTCACGCCTGAATCAGGAGCTGCACTAGTCCAGTGTGTCCACAGGTGGCAGCAGCATGCAGCGGTGTCCATAGCTCACTGTCACAGGCGTTCACACAGGCACCAGCATCCAGCAGGCACTGCACTATCTCCACAAAGTCATCAATACAGCACTGAGAACAGAGGGCAGATGTAGATAATGTATGTAAATTAATGAACCCATAGAGACATAAAGACAGAACACAAAACAGGTACTGACAACAAAATGGAGAAATCTATGCATTATTTATTTATGGCAACTAATGTAATAGAAAACATTTGCATGCATGGGCCAGCCCTCTGCTGAGTAAACACCAAGTTTTCCAAGGGGAAGAGCAGAGTCAACAGCTTCTATAAAGAGTTCTCTGTGCTCACAAAAAGCCCTCTCATGAATTTATAGTAGCATGTTAACGTGGTAACTTATAAAGAGAAATAAACGACACAGAGAGCAAAACAGGAAGGGAGAGGAAAAAGCCCATCTGTAATTATAAAGATCTGTGTCCAGCTAATGATGCTTAATCTTAGGATGGTTTCTTCCAAATCTGTTAAAACTGTTCAGGAAAGGAATGTAAGCCTACGCAAACTCTTCAAAACACTGGCCCTCCAAACTAAAACTGTGGGAATGAATCAGTGTGTTCATGTAAACTGACTTAAGATAAGTTACAGGTCAGACAAAATAAAGGCAAACAGTACTTAGAGAGCTGAGAGCTGTGACCGCACACAACATAAACACACGCTGCACAAAAGGTGACCTGCCTCGTTAGTGTAAAACTGTGTAGGTAACCTCATCATTGTAAGGCTGATCTGGTGTAAGCTGCTGAACATGTGGAAGTGTGTACCTGTGTATGTTTAACCGCCACTTAAATGGTGTAAATATTGGAAGTATTTTTTCGTTATGACAACCAAACTTGCCTCTGAATCCAAACCCTTTACAAGATTATTTCCAGATTTTGGAGTTTGAGAGTTTTCTTCTGGTGCGTTGTGAGTGAGGTTCTGCAATCCAGTGAACACAATTCGCACTGCAGGTGGGAAACCAGTGAGGGATCATCTCCTTGTCACTGTACTGGTAACTCCTGCAACTAGGTGTGTGTGTGAGTGTGTGTACCTGATGTAGGGCTGTCAATCCATCCTCATTGACCAGATCTGGGCTGATGCCACTGTTAAGCAGCTCCCTCACTAGAAGAAGCACAAATACACAAGCACACACACACACACAAACACACACAGCATTATGACGGACCACCTGGGCAGAGTCCTTTCCACTGCAACACTTTTTTACAGCACGTATCTGTCTGCCCTTAATAGACAAGAAATGATACCCATTTGGCGTGTGTGTGTGTTGATAGTTAACAATGGACTGAGAAGATTTGCTACTATAATTAGCCTTGATCCTGCGCCTGACAATAATGCCATTACTGCTACAATCAAAGTGTGACGTATCCAGTATCAAGTATGCATCAATAATTTCCTTTTAATTGTGTGTTTTTCAGCAACCGGTTGATAAGTTCTTATGTCTCAGGAAAGGCCAACAGCAAGTCAATGCAACACAAAGAAACTAAATGCGGAGGTCATAGTGTCCCCTGACCTTAAAGTAGGGCTGCTTTCACATGTTAGGGATTTTGATTGGTCTAGGCAGGAAAGCAGTGGATTAGTCTTGTATCTACAGTCTGAAATCACTTGTTAGCCTGTCTTGAGTTCCTTCAAATACATGTGACTGATGTACTTCTAATTTAACAAAATAGTGTCAAAGCTCTTCAGGACATAAAATTTAAGGCTCTGTAAAATGACTTTTCTCGTGTGTGTTTCTACCAACCTTCTTCTAGGTCATTACGTGCAGCTGCATCTAGCAGGGTGATGGTGTCAGGGAACTTAATTTTGGTGGTGCGTGCCTTCTTTTTATCTGCTTTGGCCCTTGACCCTCGTCCTGCCTCCTTCTCCATCTGTGCCCAAGACTTCAGCTGCTGGGCACGACGCTTCTGGGCATGCTTCAGGCGTTCAGTGGCACTTAGACGCCCGACCGTGGCCATCTCAGCCAGCAACTCGCCGTGATCTGCTGCCATGCCACTACACTACACACTGTCACGGTGGCTTCGCTTCTCTATTCTTGTTTGTTTCTCTTAGTCCATGTGGATGTTTCAGTTTGTAGATTTCTCATACACCTCCCTTGTGCTCATTAAAGAGGCCCTTCTGTAAGGCCAAACAGGCCTACGTTAGGGCCTGTGGGAGAGCACAAAGAGATGGTGCAGTTTATCTGTAAAAATATCTTTTCATTTAAAAAGAAAAAGCAAGTAGCAAAAATGTCCAAACTATGATGAAATCTAACAACTTATGTTGTACGATCAGGTGGCGGATATCTCCATGATTTCAGAAGTAAGCAACCCCTAGAACACTTGCAATGTCTCTTTCCCATCTTTCAGATGGTAACTCTTATCGTACCGAGGAAAAAAGGCGAGAGAAAGATCCAAACCATACTCATCCAAGCTGTGGATTGTAACCAACTGTCAGTCCTGCCATCCATATCAACTCTGGGAAAGTTGGCCAATGATCCACGGGGGGGGGAGAGACAGAGAGAAAAAAAAGAGTCAAACTCCTCTCCAGGTTAGATGCTCCATCTGAGCTGCTAATCCAAAGCGGCCTTGACTGTGGAGACTTGGATCCAACAGAGGGGCACGTCTTTGAAAATCCATAGTGAGAATATGGTGGCAGTGAAGTTTAAGCAATGATGATAAAAAGGGGTATTTGCAGGATTCACCCGAGGCCTACTTTAGTTAATGCAGACGCTCACAGAATTCAAATATCCCTTGGTGGTGAGTGGAGGGTACTCCAGAGTCAACTTGTCGTTGTTGGTGGACTTTTTGGCAGGCCTTCAGAAGAAGAAAGATGGGTACGAAGGTTTTCAATGATTCGTTCCTCAAAGACATTTGCCTTCTGCGTGCAACTGTGGGCAGGGAGAGAGAAGGAAAAAAAAAAGGCAGGGAGAGAAAATGTGAGTGCCGTGTTACAGTATAATGTACGCACACTGCTCTCCTAATCCTGTTATCTTTAACCCCTGAGCTCCTTCCCCCTACTCCCTCCTCTCCCACTCCTCTCCTGAAGGAAACCTGAGACGGTGGGACGCTTTTCATTAATGATTGACACGCCCTGCAGACCGACACACGCTGTGCTGCCATTGGCATACACACAGGGCTGAGTGACGGATGTTGTGGGAAAAGCGGTTAAATACCTGGTATGTGACATGTTTCAGTGCAAGTCCTTACCCCGGCAACCTCGGTCGGCAAGATCGCTCTCATTACCTTTCGTTAACTTCCCAGGTGAGTTACGTGGCTCACACATGCTCTGCTCTTTCCAGGCTACTCATTTATTATTTAGGCCTGGGACTGTGAGCGCTGAGAGGAAGGTCAACTAGAGGCACTCAGTGAGATAGAGAGAGTGACTGACAAGACAGTAGTCTGGGGCCACAGAGCCAACTATATGAAAAGGTGGGAGATGAGAAGACCACGGTGTGCAATTCATAAAAAAACAGGTTGTGGTTCCAGGATTCCTCTTTGGTTTTTATCCCAATGGAGGTGACAGCAACAGGTTTAAAGCTTTAAAATAGTTCAGTTTTGACATTTAATGAGTTTTGCAAAGATTCTTTTTTCCAAAATAAAGCAAATTGCCAACTTTTATGCTTTATTTTTTAGATTTGTGTGGATAAACAGATGAAACTGAAATAGATAAATCATCAATAAAAGAAACTTGTGGGTTGCCTCTGGCCAGTGTTTATCCTCTCTGTTTGGTAATACTGCAGTTATAAATCTATGAAAAAATGTCACACTTTCCAAAAAGCCATTAAGTCTAGTGTAATAAATGTCACTAAACTGAAAATAAATAGATTTTAGTCCAAATGCTCTGCAGTTTGGTTTTTCCAGAACTCAGTTATCAATGTTTAGCTAACTAACTAAATAACTATCTAAGTAGATCAATCAAGTGTACTGCTGAAGGAGGATAAACAGCAGGTTAAGGGATATTTCACAATCCAGCAAACTCAAAACCTCTTCTTACTTTTATCTTATAGCCAATATATAAAGCATCAGTACAGGAGTTATTAACCATGATAAAAGGTATAGTTACAATGTATAAATCTTTCATAAATGATGACCCTTTAAAAAGTAGTATTATAAAATATGACACACTATTTTTACTTGAATACCATGTAGTGTCTGCAGTAAGACATGTACAGTAACATTTCTATAAATACCTACCTGTCACCATTTCCATTAGGCCTCTTAGCTGACCAGCTAAAATCTCAATAGTTCTTTGCTTGTGGATAGGCAGACTTTTGTCATTTGTTTCTTCCTTCTATTTTTAGGATACCTAACCTCTCACCCTTTGTCACAAGCTACAATGTAAGGATTTCCTTAGCCTGAGGTAATAGCTTAACTCTCCCCAATAGACTGGCAGGCCACTATAAGGACCATTCATTCAAACAATACACATATGAACATGGACTTGGAATGCACAGGATCAAGGCATGGATGACGAATGTTCATTTATAATGATCCACAAGGCAGCTTTCGTTAATGCGTCTTCCTCCTACAAGGAAAAGCCATGTTATCCAAAGTCCATGTTCATGTTAAAAGGTCAACGGGAAATACACTTGTTATATGCCAAACCCTAGAGGAACAATTAAGGCCAGGCCACATAGAGTTAAGTAGCCTAACCTGTTTTTGGTCAGTGTTCTCAACAGTTTTCCATAGTTAATAAATGAAAAAGGGAGCATGTTTTGTGGTATTTTAAGGGGCTTTAAAGAGGGAAAGGGAAAATTCCTGCAGTATTAGTAGGATAATGCCAGACACAATCTGAAAGATCAGTGGAATAGAGATCCCAGTCTTAAACTTTAGAATTGTGTTTCTCATGAAATTAAACTAATAATAAAAAAATTCATTCTCAAATATTTGACTTGTGTTTTGTTATTTCTAACATCAGACTTTATTAGTCAAACAAAAATCTGTTTGATTAGATTTTAAATGTGCAGTGGTGAAAAATTGCCTTCCAAAACAGGCCCAGCCTTACAACAAAAACACAGACTGGGCCGTGTTACAATACAGCCGCTTAATTCATCTGTTGCTCTGCACTTTTGTTCAAGTTTCAATAAATGTTTACATTTTTGAAAACAAGATGCTTCCAGTGTTTATTATATTGTTTGACCTGAGTACATTAACATTTTAGCAGTTTGCCGAAGGGGCAATCAAACATGCAGTCTTAAACATTCTTTCAGCTTCCACTTGATGACGATGCACAGCTCAAGAGGCAGGAATTTTTAAGCAAACATGCCTCTAGTCTGATGCCCTTGCATAGTGTGCAACCAACATAGTGTGCCAGAATAATATTCAATTATATTTGTAATACTAGCTAGCAATCAGTAACGTTCTGTTAGAAGTGAATGCAGTTTCTGTGGATCCAGAATAACCCTCACCAAATCTCATACTGATGGACAGAGCAGCTTGGAGACTACAGTGTGGCCCACATACTGAGCAGACAATTAATGCGTGTCCCATTGTCTCCATCTATTTTTCTTTTAGTGCCAATCATGTGATTATGACAATAAAACTGGTTTAATGTGTTTCCACCCTCACCCAGAACTGCCTCACCTGACCTGATAGTGCTGAGCCGCTTACACTGTACACGCTGCAAGTGCAGGGTCACAATGTGTTGCAAAGACATGTAAAAACCCAGCTTACTTCTCTAGGATCTGATAATGAAAGTGATTCTCTAGGGTCTTTTGTTGGACTGGAGACTTTAAAACAGGAAAACAAGGTAAAGCTTTGGCTGGTGTGAAGTCATTTTATTTACATGTAAACTCATTTCTAACTCATGCAATAAAAAGCAAATCAGACCTTATATATATATATAAATAAATAAATAAACTGCACTCCAGTTTAACTTGACTGTCAAATATCGCATCAAGGACTCATGCTTCTGCCTGGTTAACAGGTTAAATACCATTTAAATATCATCTTAAGGGTTTCTTAATGGACTACAAAAGACCTGATGGAGGCCATGTCAGCAAGCTAAGTTAGATTAAACCTGTTGATATGCTGGTACATTAGACGAGAGATCAGCTTTGCAGAATGTGGGTCTATACAATAATGTGATGAGTCATTGGTTAGGTAAGTGGTGATAGTAATTAGGTTTACTCATGACATAACGTGAGGCATAAAAGAAACAAAAGCGATGTGAGACATGCACATTTATAAATAGAATAAATCTTTGACACATGCAAAGTCACACACACTCTCATTCTTCCACTCATAACACATTTACATGCACTAACACACACACACAGAGCACAGGACAACGTTTCCTGATTAGCTGTCTTGGCAGAGCGAGCCAGACAACTCATATCTCAGCCAAAGCCAATCAGTGTGGGGTATCGGGGAATGGAGCTGAGGCAGGGGCTGTTTACTCTTGATCCTGGCTAGTCCTGGTACACAAACATTAAAGACACATCTATATTATTAAGAATTATCTAGAGAATTAAATTACAGCCAATAAATTATCAGCCCACAATAATAATAACTTATTTGGAATTCTTATGCAAAATTATAGTCTCTATGTTCCAAGAAAGCCAGAGTATGTTTAGAGAATGTTAGAAAAAATAAATGAACATTTGAAGAGTTTTTGTTGTTGTTATGTTAACAGTAGAGATGTCAGAGCTATGGAATATTAAATCATCCATTTGCTCATTACATCTCTTTTTTGCCATCAGGTGTGTAAAAACACCAGGTTATGAACTTCTTTTTAAAATACAAAAATGTGAAATTATCAGTTATCTTATCGGTATCGGCCATGAGAAGCAGGTAATCATCGGTTATTGTATTGTCTGAAAAAATAAAATAAAAATCCATATCGTGCATCCCTATTGTTCAGCAGTCAGGTCCACCTAATCCTTGCAACCCAAGCTTAGCAGTATTGTCTAACAAACACCAGTGGAAGTACACCAGCTCTGCTTTCATACACTGCAGAGTAGTGTTATTTTTTCCTCACATGCCTGAAACAGGACTCTACTTCTATCTCTATATGAACTATAGTCTAAGTCTCAAACATGTAAGTAGTGTCAAATACTTTCAGCTGTGTGTATGGTAAATATTGAACTCCCCATACACCACTAACTGAGCTTACGTGAATAGAAAGTAGATAAATGATAAGGGCAAATTGACCATTTTGCATATTTGTTTATGCTTTAGAGGCTGAAAGTGGAGTCTAGTTTGTCCAGAGTCTCCTGGACAGTGCAATTGAGGGCCATCATTTGGAGTTAACTAAACAAAGTAAGAACCAGGGTGTGGTGAAAAAGAAAAAAAAAACCTTCAAGATCCTCTCAGCATGAGATTGCTGTCTTGGTCTGACAGACTCAGCTCAGTTAGACTTAGCCTGCTGTCTGACACTAATTATCCTACTGAACCTCACTCACCAGCAGCAAACTAGTGAGTGAACGATCTGGGTGAGCACTGCATTGCACATTAAGCACAATGTCATGTTAAATCATCATTAAATCAGTCCAGAATCAGAAACCAAGAGTTTCTTATCTAAATCAGGAATTTTGCAAAACAAAATATTCAACAAACAAACAAACAGGGAGGGATCCATCACTGATACAGCAACATTACCATTTCTACACCAACAAGAGCAACAATATATCAAGTTTACTGTTAACAAACTAACTAACCTAACACATATATGTGCATACACAAAGATAACAATAATGTTTACTTTGGGTGAAAGTAATTAAATCAATTCAATTGCCGATGGAAAATCTGCAGCAAAAATGAACATTAATTTCTCTGTGATATTGTAATCTTACCTCATTCATCTGTGTCTTCTTCTTTAGCTCTTATTAACAGTCAGCACTTTAACTGGCTGACTGAGAACTTGTGATCTGCTAACAGTGGATGCAATGATCTAAACTAGTATTAGTCTCAGTTAGTTTTGTCCCTTCTAAAATAAACCCCTGCACAAATGGGGAATTTGAGCCTTGTGATTCTCTGAGTCAGGCAGATCCCAGACAGACGGGAAAAGTCGAGGTGAGATCACTGATATTGTACAAACTGTGGCACACGCACACTGAGAAATATGACTAAACATTTTGTGTGTTTGGAAAAATGTCCCTGCATCAATCTGACATTTGTAGTCTTCTGACTTTTTCCACCTAATGACCTAACAGGAAGGGCTGCCTACAACTGCTGAGGAACATAAACTTTCTTTCAACAGCTGGAATGAATAGACCACTATGCATACACAGACACAAACTGAAGCTCACACATTCATCAAGTGGCTGGTACCTTAGTGTACAAGCTTGTAACTGAATTTACAACAACAGCAAAAACTCCTGCTCAGCCTTAAATCTAGCTATGGTGGAAATAGGCAAAAGGTGCTTCATTCATGGTTTGCCATCATGGAATGACACCGCTCAGCTGTTGTGTATGACCACCAGCCCAGTGTGCTGTTTGATGTGACCTGCAGAACCTTCCCGTTCATTGAAACAAACAGTGCTGAGTCAATGCAGCTTGATGATTCGGGAACGATCCCGCCTGCTATCTGAACCACTGCCAAGTGACCAAAACTGCCTCCCTAATATTCACAAAGGTTGTTTGTTTTCTATGACTCAAATATAATTTAGACAAGTCGTTTTTGGTAGGGCACAACAAGGCATCCAAAGACAACACCTTGGGCTATGGGGAACTGCGATGGGCTGACCAAATTAATAATAGAGGAATAAAGAAAATAACATTAGTTGCAGCCCTTGAAAGAAGGACAGAGTCAGAGAGAGAGAGAGAGAGAGAGAGAGAGAGAGAGAGAGAGAGAGAGCACTGTAGGGGAATCTACTGGTGGGCACATTAAGTCCTGTCATGTGTAATGGTTTGAGCTGCTCCATATAATCACTGAACAATCTCAGTAATGCCACGGAGTAGCCAGAGTAGGGAGAGAGCAAGAGGCCATGGGAAAAACCGAAAGAGTGTGCGTGTATGATGCAGGCAGATTTGGAAATATCGAGCAGATTTGCGCATATATAGACAAACAGGCAAAGAGTCACTGCTTTTTTCTGCAGGGCAGGATATGAAACGAGAGGGCAAGAGGATGTGGAGGAAAGAATGCGAAGGAGATAGAGGAGAATACGAGGAGGAGGAAGGATGGGGAGGAGACAGAGAGACTTGCCTCCTTTAAACTCCTAAGCAGGAAGTAGGGTCATATCACGCAGGCACAGAGGTGGAGAGAAAATAGTCATAAAGAATCTTTAAATGGTGCCCACAGGATGAGATGATGTACATGACATCCACACGCAGAATCTCCCACATTTAAACATAAGCACGTGATGGCAAAGAAATGCCTCAGTAAGGAAAGACGGAGAAAAACAAGGGGGAGTTTATGAACAAGAGAAGGAATGTGACAGCAAGCCAAACCTTAGCAAATACAGCTTGACCTTTAAAGAGTTGCTTTGAGTCATTGAACTTGTTGGAATTGTCTTATCATGAAGAGAAAACTATATAAGGATGACAAAGAAAAATCTTTCTGTAATGATTACCTCATGTTACATTGGTCTTTGCACTTCTAGAATATCTAATAAAGGGCTTGTTCAGTTAAGATAACCTTTTGTTGCCGCAGTGGTGGATGCATACATTTTGATCTAAATTCAGTCAAAGTGCTGCTGTGCCAGACCACAGGGGACACGGTGTTGAAATGCAATCTAACCTTTTTATGATCTTTTATGCCATGCAAGACTGTGTGAGCCATCGCGTTGTGTATCAAGGACTGCACAAGCTAATCTCGGTCTATATTGTTAAACCTGCAAATATTTGACCGTACATATGGAGGAAATGCTGTTGAAGAAGTACTTTGACCACACATGGCAATACTTGTGAGACAGACCGGTAAGGCTGGCTTGACGGGAATAGATAACTTGTGAGTTCAGGTTAATAAGTCAGTGTTGTAAATGTTAAAATACGGTCAAATAGTCAGTGCAGTAAATCCTCAGGTCAGTGATCATCAGAGGGAAAACAAACAAAAATATATGACAATAATGGTTTTTTTTTCATTGTTTCTACAGAAGACATGGGTTGCAATTAATTATCATTTTCATTATTTATTATTCTGCAATTGATTAACTGACCCAAAGAGACTCAGTTGATTGTCATGTATCACAAAGAAAAGCAGAAAATCCTTACATTGGAGAAGCTAGAACCACAGAGTGATCATTTTGTTTCATAAATGATTTCATAAATTACCATAGATCGATATCCAAATAGTTAATGAGGTGTTAATTACTCTCTATGGTTATTTTATTTATTATTCTTTATATGATTTTGTCCTTACACATTACAACATAAATAAACATAACTACAGGGCTATGGCATTGACCCATTTGACACTGAACTATGAGCTGCAACATAAAAGCCTCATGTAAGAGATTTATGCCAGCCTATGTACCACTGATAAATGAGACTTTAGGGCTGCACACTATGGTAAGATAAGCATAATGCGATTACTTTGACACATACAGCGACTGCGATAAGACTCACAGTTAGTGGCATTCACAAACTATTTAAGTTATGATGATGTGACATTTGTTGGGAGTCTGTACCAAACAAACATGTTTTCTTACATCTGGAGAACAAAATTTGTAGGCCAGGATATGAACTGCAAAAAACTACACAACAAAAACTACAAAAAAACTGCAGCTTCTTGTGATTTGGATATTGCATATTGAGATTTCAATAAATATTACACTTAATAGTAATAATCAACTCAAGCAACAACTACCCTGTAACTATTAACTTTAATATTTGGTTCAATCATCGTAAACTGCTTTTAAAAGCTTTAAAGACAACAACAACAACAACAACAATGGAAGTGTTTGCTCTTGTCCTTCACTGTGTGGGATTAACTGTGAGCAGCAGATTAGCTAACCTACCTAGCGGTCCACAGACAGGCTCAACAGGTGGCTAGTCTGACAGGTAACGTAAGCACTTCATTTAAGCTACCTGGCTGAATTCACCAACATGCCCGAGTGGGGGGATAAAGTTAATACCAGCACGTTTATCCTATGTGGGTGAGTCTAATTGTAAAAAAACAGTACGAACACCTGCTGAGCATCGATAAAGTCGGCTACCATTGATGTTGTGTCATGCTAACGTTACCTTAGCCGCAGGTTAGCTTGCTTTTCTCAGCTCAACGGCAGCCAGGGTGTTGTAACGTAGGTGAATGAAAATGTAACGCCACTTTCACTTAATTTAACCAATAACTGCGAGTTAAACCGAGCAGGGTGTACACCATCGACGTAAAGAGAGAGGAAGCAGTGTGGCGACGTCTTACCTGTTGAGTTGGCTGTGAGTAGTAGCTCCTGTGCAGGTCTGTGAAACTGAATCAGCTGCGGTGCTCCTGCTCCTGCTCCTGCTCCGGGTTGCCAGCCCTCAGGGGAAATGCTTCACCATAACAACCGGACCTGCGCCCTCTCCTCTCCCGCACGGCTCCGCCAGAGGGCGACAAACCCCGCAGGCTGTATTTATGTCAGCGTCCACTCAGCACAGAGCAAACTTTATTTCTGCAGCTCCTTTCAAAGGCAGAGTTACAAGGTAATTCACTGGTGCACATAAAATACAGTATCATGAATCACAACAATAATTATAGGGAAGCATATATATAATAAATACAGATGGGTTTTAACAGCTTTCTAAAATGTGGAATATATTTACTTGGCTGTTCTGATACTGAAGAGTTTTAACAGTTTGAGTTAAAACCGTAAAAGCATCTTTTTTATTTATTCTATTTACTTATTTTCTTCATTCATCAAATGCATAGTTCCTTTGTAACCTTATTCCTGTTATGTATTTATTTTTATTTGTCTCATATGTGTGTCCTACATGGACGTCATAAGGCATCAGTCATTTGAATTCCCTCAGATTATACGGACTGGAGGCGATTCCTACTTGATACTGTGCTGGTTTCTCTTTGTACGCCTCTCTCTTTTTCTGGGACTATGGGAGTAATGATAAGTAACCCTTAACACAAAGCTAACTGCTGTACTAAAAACATTTGAACTGTGTTGTATTGCCTCCGGTGACCCATCTGTTCAGTTCTGTGCATCTGTGTACCACTGGAACAAAACTATAATAATAAAGTTTTTTTTAAAAAGCATCCACCTTTGTCTTAAACCTGGAGTGTGGCACACATATTTGGGTTACTTGGGCAAAATAGATATGATCAGAAATATATAATGGAGCCTAACCATGGAGGGCTTTTAAAGTTATAATAAACTGAATTCTAAAATGAATATAAAGTGAATGTAATCCAGCCAGACTGCAGAGACATGTTCTCTGTGTGTAGTGTTTGACAAAAGCCTTTCTCCTAAAACAACAACAGATTTATGTCTGAATGTTAGCTGTCAGTGATCCACGATTAAGGATGAGACCATGGATCCCTTTGCCCTTTCTTCATCCCTGATCAAGCTGAAATGACTACCATAACCATTAACATTTAAGTATTTTTTGTATCACTGTTATCAAGACACACACATTTCAAGCAGGCTAGAGTTGTCAGACATTACATAGGACAGGCCACTTTGGTGCAATGCTTACATAACATGCATTCAATATTATCTGTCGTAGCAGTAAAAGGAAATAGAAATGGTAATATACAATATATACTGACGCATTTCCTATTGGTTTTAGGTGTGAAAGGCCACAGTGCAAAAGCACCCTAGCCTTTTGTGTTAAGCAGAAAATAAAGGGTGTGTTTGCATAAATATTTGTTTGTACAGTGTGTGACACAGAGTCAATGCCAGCTTCAATACTGTATATCTGGTTTGGCAAATAAATGAATGCACATGTCTTTTCATGATAACTGTTAGGGTGCGTTTGTCTTCTTTGTTACTCTCATTTGACAATGTACTCAGCACAAGCCTGAACACATGCTCCTTTAACATCCCCATAATTAAATATCAATTTAACAAAGTAATCCAACCGTACCATTGGATTGTTTGCCTGGTTTCTTGCTCTCAGCAGCATCAGAATCCACTGCTGATACCTAGAAACAGATAGACAGTGATGACCCTGTGATCTCCTGACCCCTGCAGTGAACTGTCCAACCAACCCAGCAGTGACACTATACAGAGACGCAGTGAGGAAACAGCTTGGGAGCATGAGCTACATCTCCTCGAATTAACACACAATGCAGTACCTTTATAGTTTAGTGTAAAATATAGGACGATTTACATGAAATGTTATCACAGAAAAGTGAAAACTTACACCATAAGCATAACTTTATCAACCTGCACATCCCTGGTGGCCTTCACACAGGGCCTACAGATGGAAATGAGCTTTCAGCAATATGTGCATGTCTTGTTCATTGTCCCTGTTAGGTGTAAGTATTAAAAAAAAGACACAAGTAAACATATATACAACAACAATCTTGCAGTAATGAGGCTGTGACAGCACAATTAAAACTCTCTCTGGCTCTATCCCAGAAAGGCTAAACTTCATTCCTCCTCATCATCTCAGTTTCAGGATGCTTCCCAGGGCAGCTTAGGGGGGATTTGTCCAGACACAATCAGCCTATGTGAACAGCCTTGTCCTGGATGCTGTCCTATTCATATGGTTTCCTATTCTTTTCATGCGTGGCTCACTAATCCAGGCAAACCCTATTAAGTAGCACTCCAGCAGACAGGAAGAGATAGACTGACAGTTTGTATTTAAATCAGCATGTTTTTGCAGTGATCACTTCTCTATGTGAAGGCATGTAAATCGGGTCCAAACATGTGTGTGATGTGTTAGGGGTTTGCCTGTACATGTTTAATTTTCCAGTAAACTAAAAGAAAGAACATTCTCATTGTCAAAGTCCATCAAATTTACTTTTTAAACAGAGAAAACTCTATACTCACTGCTTGATTTCTGGTGAGCTGTCATGTTTATTATAAGTGTGTGTGTGTGTGTGTGTGTGTGTGTGTGTGTGTGTGTGTGTGTGTGTGTGTGTGTGTGTGTGTGTCAAGGCTCTGGCTTGAGTTTTGGGTGAAACCACCAGAGGGGGACAAACTTTCTGGACAATGCAACAGTGTGTGGCAACCAGAGAAGAAAATCACTGATGCAAATTGCAGCAGGTGAAGGAGGTTTGTCGCTCACCATGGTGTGGAAGCCATCTGACCAGGAAAACAAGTTCAAACATTTTGTATTCCACTGCAAATTCATGTGGTAAGTTTTTCATGCTTTATCAATATGATACCAAAGCTTCTGTGCAGGAACTAAAACCCTATTTATTTAAATCCCTCTTTATTTCTGCAACCACCTGATAAATAGAGGTTTACCATTTGCCCTGTTAATTGGACATTTAAAGCTAAATCATGGAGCGGTCAGATGCCGTTTGTGCCATCAAAGGAGAATGCTCAGTAACACTTTCACTTGAAGGTGAATACATTTTGCTGCTAGGCCACACACTTCATGTCAAATGTTACTTGTCACTTACTTGTGGATTAGGCAGCACAGTTTCAGTTGTGTGATACCAGTTAGAAAAGTATCACAATGTGAAAATCTTTTGTTTCTGCCTCTTTCTGGTAACAAACCTTGTGGCACAATCACTTGAGAGTTGTCTTTTTATTGTCTTATCAGATGTAATATATTCCTTATTGGAATAAAAGCCTTAGAGCTCAGTGTCAGTGTGTGTGCTGCTGTGTAACCAGGTTGTTGATTCTATGATTCACTAAAACAGTATTTGTTTGAGAGATATATTGAGGCTCTTTCCAACAATTCAGGAAAACATGATTGCTCCTGTTGAAGGTGTGAATGTCCTACCCTACAACGACACTTAGCAGCTTGTAAGCGCCAGAAAACCCACAAATGGTGTTGAATAGCCCCCGTATTTCCTCACATGCTAAGCAGCTTCTTTGGGAAGAACCGTCTCCAGCTTGCCAATGGGGTTCTTGTTTTCACTGTCTTGCTGGGACGAAAGAGTTTGCACATTAGCACTACGTTAACTTTAACAAAAGACATGCATTCCCGAAACTTAGTCCTTCAACGCCGAATGACATCCTGCATAGTCACAGGGAGACCCTACTGTGCACAAAACACCCCTAACTATTGCGCGCTCTGAGCACCACCAAAGCATTTATTCTACATCTTGCGATTACAATTTGTAATTTTTTCCTCAAGAGCTTTACATGTGCATAAGCTTGTTCTATGAACAGGGCTAACCTGCATCAATAACAGCCTGTACGACTTTCACTGTCTTCCTCACAATCTAAAGGGAATTCCAATGATTCACATAATTTAGAGAGAAATTATTTGATGCAGCCTATTAAAATGAATGATTGCAATAGCCAACTTCTTAATGTTTCAACGTTTGTATATTAGCCATTCCTCATGTATATTGCTCACCAAAAATTGTTGATTGCATCTAATCGAAATTACGTCTCTTCCTTGCACCCCACCCCACCCCCCGCACAAGTTTTGCTTTACGCCTCTGCACCCAAGTGTCACTCTCGAGGAGAAAGTCTTCATTATTTAATATGGCTTAGTCAACATGTTCCATGGTTTAAATTGGGATAGTAAGATGAAGATGTTGTGCTTGTCTCCGGAGTTTGTTAAAACAACATTTATTGTTTGTTTTAAGTGTATTGCCACTCCATATGCGCACTGAATGCTCTAGACGTCCGTGCGTAAATCTACTAAACACTGATTCCAAAGCAAACTCGGAATCTCTGCGTTTTAAGTGGCATGTTGATATTATCATAAGGGTTATTTACAGGTTTACTGTCCTTCTCTCGCCCCTCCTTGCACACAGACCCTCCCCAGGCCCCCGGGGCGATCAGTCATTCTGCTCTCAGATAACGCGTCATTCTCCCCTCGATTACGCAGCGGGATTTACATGAAACTGTTAATTGTTTGCTCTTCAAATAGAGTCAGCCTGGAGCCAGCAGTCTGCCAGAAGTTAAGGACCGACTCTTTGACCTCCCTCCCCCTCTTAGTGCTCCTGTCCAAACGTGCGGGCCGCCCCCCGGCTGATCAACATGACAAAGCACTGGCCTGAGCAGAGTCTCTTGGCACTACCCTCTCTGTCCCACCTTGGAGAACATCCCGACCATCAACTTGACTTCCACAGAAATGCGCAGCAGAGCTTTCCTCCCCGTGGTGTAGCAGCGCGGAGCACTCCAGCACAACATTGGCCTCACCACCCGGCTCAGATGGTTCCCCAGCAGCAGTCGCGCTTGGAGAAGCCCGCAGCGCACCCCGAACACCTCGCCAGTGCCAAGACATTCATGGATAATCCTCAAGATGCCCACTTTAAACAGGAAACTAACACCAAGGACTCGTGGAGCAGTGAACGGGAGAAGAGCAGCAATAGCGGTGGGAAGAAAAAGAACTATCAGCGGTATCCAAAACCACCGTACTCGTACCTCGCTATGATTGCTATGGTCATCCAAAGGTCCCCAGAGAAGAAACTGACGTTATCTGAGGTAAGAATTCCCTTCTATTACTCTTGTGTTTGAGTGCCCAGTGCTATACTTACGGTAATGTGGGTAGAGGTGGCGCATGGTGTGCTTTACGCACGGTGCTGCTTATGATGTTCACTTTATTTCAGCATTATTTTATTGAAATAAATCTCTGGTTAAAAAAAAAAAAAGAGACTACGTAGTATATTTATTTAAGAAAAGTAAGTCGAATCAGAGAGTTAATGTAACTTTCTATTAAATATATCGTTAACACACTGACTAACTTACAGTCCATAAAGTGACACAAAACAGCAGCCTCTTGGTGACACTTCAGTGACTGCCACCCCTACCATTCTTGGCTTGCTTTGATAACGTTTGACTGCAGTGAAACCAGACACTGATCCGTATCAGGAAAGTGATAAGATATACAGTTGATGGTAAAATCCCATTTCAGTTGGGAAGGCACTTTCTAGCTATTCTATAGTTATACTGTAAAAGGACTGCCCATACAACTTCATTTTTTAAGTGTAACTATAAACTCATTGTCTTATTTTCAATTCATATAGAAGATAAATGCACTGCATATCAAGTCGGCATCCACTAACTTTCAAACTGTGTGTTCAGATAGCACTGGCTCCTTGCATAACCAAACTGAAATACAGTGAAGAAGAGAGTCTTGTTTAGACAGCCATACTGATATTTCTGTTTTATTTCTAGATCCTGAAGGAGATCAGTACTCTCTTCCCGTTCTTCAAAGGAAACTACAAGGGCTGGCGAGACTCTGTGCGACACAACCTCTCCTCTTATGACTGCTTTGTGAAGGTATGTGTGTTGAAACTGTTTAACAATCCCATGATTAAATCCCTATTTAGTCTTGTCAGTACCTAGATGGAAAGAGTTTGCTAAATACAAGCTTTACATTTACATGGTACCATCCTGAGTTGAAGTGATCCTATTTAATCCTTGTAGAAATACTTTCTGAGGGTTTTGGATTGAACCTTCAAACCGGTTTTAAGCTTTTATCTTGTATCCACTGTTATTGTGATGGTTGACTATGAAACTAGGTCAGTCCTGCTTGACTAGGTTGTCAAGCCAAGTTCACATTTCATTGTCCACCCTTCCTCCACCTGTAGGTGCTGAAAGACCCAGGCAAGCCTCAGGGCAAAGGCAACTTCTGGGCAGTGGAGCTGAGCCGTGTTCCTCTGGAGCTCCTCAAGAGGCAAAACACGGCTGTGTCGCGCCAGGATGAGACAATCTTTGCCCAGGATCTGGCCCCCTACATTCTGCAGGGACACAAGCCAGAATCGGAGCCACCCCCTGCTTCTGTCAACCCCCTCCCTCCTATGCGCTCCAGAAACCCCTCCCCACCACAGGAAGATCTGTTCCGACCCAAGCTGGACTCATCCTTCGCCATCGACTCTCTGCTGCACAGCCTTCGGCCACCTAGTGCCTCTGGGGATGTGGACGTGTCTACCAGGGACTGTTGGGGAAAGGTGGAGCGCCCACGGTCTTCACCACCTCCACGCCCTCGCTACGCCTCCTATGCCCGTAGTGCCTCAGCCAGCTCTGCCAGCCCGGCCTCCACCTCCTCCTCCTCCTCCTCTTCTGATGAGGAATGGAAAGGCATGTCCCTGTCTGGGAAGCGTGTTCCTCTAGATGGTGAAGCTGGATCAGATGGTTATGAAGACTACAGACCTCCACTGCATAAATCAGCCAGACGCGATACTGTTGCACCTCCATGGGAGCTCCCTACCTCTTACGCCAAATACGCTCCCCCCAATGCTGTTGCCCCACCAAGCATGCGGTTTAACGGGGGTCCTCTAATGCCACTGCATGGTGGACTTCCCATTTACGGCTATGGCGGTTCTCCTGTGGCACCTGGTCACTTCTTAGGTCATGCCTATTGGCCCATCCTCCCCAGTGGACGAGTTTCTGTCCAAGCACCTCCCCTCATCATGGACCTGGACAACATGTTGCAATCTGTGCCTCCGAATAAGAGTGTGTTTGACGCATTAGTACCATCCAGTCAGAACTCTCACTCACATCACCAACCACCCAGTCAGTACGGCCTGCAGAATGGGCCTCCTTTAAACAGGTACCCTCAGTACTGACTTGACTGACTCTGACCTACTGACTCACACTGAGCCATACTGTCACTCAAAAATGCATCAATACTAAACCACTGTGATGCATAACAGGAAGTTTAATCAAGATCCACAAAGGAAATACTGCTTTCATTTCAAGCTTCAATCACTACCTCTAGCTCAAGAAATGTTATAATATGCAAATGGCTCTGAACTACAAATAATGCCATTGATGGATTCATGTTCTTTTTTTTGGGTGAAGAATTTCAAATACAAACACCTTCTTGTTTCTTATATACATGTGGAGTATTACATTGTTTCCCATGGAGAATGGTACCTGAAACAGCTGTACAATAAGAAGTATCTACCTCAGTCTTCCAATCAAATGGAGTGTGTATTACCAGAGGCTCTTTGCACTGCCGATCATATTTGCACTGTTTTTATTGGCATGAATTTGCTTCCTTACACATGTTGTCTACCTATTGTGACTGCTGAATGTATTGATGGATTTAATATTGAATTTTAGAGTCATGTGAAAAACTAACAGAGATGAGCTAGCTAGTAGATGGTACACAGTTTTTTTTTTTTACTGTTTATCCTGCCAGCATTTTAAACAAAATAGGATTGTCAGGTAAATAACTAGCATAATCTCAGTGGAAACATAATTTTTTTCTTTGTCAGGTTGTGTCTGTCCACAGATCAGTGTATACTCTCATTTGTGTTATTGTTTGTTCAGATGGTGAAATATACAGGACAAGTTGTTAACCGTAATGTTTTTTCCTGTCTTACATTTCAGTCTGGACTGTCTGCATTACTCATACACAGCTACAATAGCATATGACCTGATAAATAGTGATACTATAACTTGGCCCTATGGTTGGCTTTTTCATTTAAGTGTTTACTAATGTTTTTGGTGGTGGTGTTTGAGGATTTGACTGGTTTTCACATTACAAAAACTATTTATAGACAAGAAAATGGCTACATTTTAGATTGTAGTCAATCTGTGAAAATGCAGCGTGTTCTCAGGCCCCTGGAGTCGGCCACTATGCAACCACCAGTATCTACCTCAGGTTTTTAATGGACTGTGGACTTTGCACTGCCGGTTATTTGCACTATTTTGATGTCATTATGATCATCTTCCAAAGGAAATTGCTTATAAATGTCTGCTTCCCTAGACGGGTGAATGTTTTGTTAGTTTTTTTGCCATTTTCCTGTGGTCCTGTTAAAAGTTTGTACAGTACTGAGCTGAAGTGAAAGCAGCTCAGATGTTTAAGTATCAAAAGAAGGCTATGGAGTTGAACAGGGTATGTAAATAAATGCTGTATATTTTAACTGTGCTGCTCAGTGTTGTATATTGCAATAATTAAACTGAAACTGCACAATCTAACAATTTTATTCTTTCTATGGTGTGTGTATACGCATATATTCAAGGTTAGATCAAGATTCTACTGTATCATTTATATCTTCCTCAGTTTTAACATGTTTAGATGACACTTATTTGCAGTGAGAGACACTGCAAAGAATAATCTTACTCCTTGGTAAATACCATATCTCCAAATTCTCATGGCCTCAAGAAGAGGAGTTAAAGCAGCAACAGTTGGTCCTCACTTCATTTCAAAACTGAGTACAATTGTTTCAATACAAGAAATGCATCAGAGCTATATGACAGAATGTAAAACCTCTTGAATAGCCCACTCAATCTTTGCTAGTCATTTGGTAACTAAAATGTAGCACTGGTACTAGTACTACTAGAAGCATGAGTACATGTAGCAATAACACAATGTACAAATAATATTATCATAAAGATAAATATCAAACAAAGGAAATTAATGCAGAAAATGTGTCCTGTGAGTATTAAGGAATCATTCAGTCATGGAATTTATTCAGCATTTCATTCATGCTACACACATAGTTCATAGACTGACATAAAATGTAAAATACTACTAGTACTGATGAATGAGTGTACTTAAAATGAATGAATGTAGGTGGAGCTAGTTTTAAAATGTTATATTTTGTTGAGTCAAAAGTAGTTGAGTAAAAAGTATTCCCTCTGAAACGAGTACCTAGTTTGATTTAAACCACTGACTTACTACTGGCTATCTCAGTCTTTCAGAGAAATTGTAAATGTTTCAGCAGTGAGGCTTTAGATACCAGTATATTTGCCCTTTTTCCTTGAAGTTTTTGTATTTGCCTACCTAACAGCTGACTATTTGCACCACAATTTCCTTGTTTTCCTGCCCTACAAAAACCATTGGTTGTTTTCTGACTATTGGTCATGTAGAGCCTTACTAACAGCATGCTGTTCTAATGTTACCAACTAAACATTTTTAAGGATAAGAATTAACTCTGCATATTTTTCAGTCACGAACAAGGACTTCCTGTTGATTCATGCCTTCGTACATCTTCCAGTAATGAGAGCACAGATTCCCAAAACCTAAAGTAATAGATTGTTCCATGGGAGCAGGCGGTGACTGTCAAATCCTCTAGGTATGATTGTTTTACCACAGGAATTGTGATCTATAAAACAAGGAAAAAATCTTTGATCCACAGTCCATGGCCTCTGTGTTGGGAGTTTCAAACAGTGCACACACACACACACACACACACACACACACACACACACACACACAACACACACATCCAGCTGATTTACATCAACAATCCAGCAGACGTCAGCCTCCTGCTGCTTCCACTGTTGTGGCCACTATCTCTTTATCAGCTGCCTACGCATGCCTGCACTCCTTCACCATCCTTCCTCCTCTTCTCCCTCATCATTCCTGACCAAAAGATGGGAGGAGGGGACACCACTTAAACAGGGACATGTCCCCCTCCCCCAAACACACACAACCATTCTTGGTTGTATCTAAACACTCCCTCTCATGAATTTACATGTATGCCTGGTAGTTAAATTGAGCTTTAGTGGGTTGTGTGTTTTAACTGGTCCTGTTTGACCCAATAATCCATGTGCAGTGTATGTGTGGAGCTTTTGCAAACATTTGGAGGCAGTAGAGTATAATCTAAATCATTTAAAAATCCCCTCTGCTTCATTTACTAACCGTTTTACGTGATGATGATTGAATGTTCATGAACAAACTGAACAACCTTTTAACAAAGAGCTCAAAGTGTCAGAAGCCAAGTGTAACATTACATTACTCATATAGTATGGAGACTACATACTCTCTAAACAGCTTCCTCCTGTCCTGCTTTTAAAAAATTAGAAGTGAAACTAATGTTTTCTTTGAGAGACATGACTTGGAAAAAAATTAGAACAATCTCATTAGTAGAAATGGGGTTTATTTGTTTTCCTGGTAAAATAACAGAAGCACAGTAACCACATCTTGACGCTGTGGTGTTAGATAAGTGGTGGTGTTCCAGTTAGAAACAGATAAGCAGCTGCTTCACGTGGTTGTTTTTTTTTCTTTCACAGTTAAACAGGAATTCATTTAAAAACTGAAAAAACATTTCAGTACACAAAAATAAACACTATTTCTTACCCAAGATGACAAATTTGTATTATCAAAAATGGGACTGCAAAACCTGCTACGGGTTACTCAGATTTCCTTCGGCTAGTCATAAGAATAATATCCCAACTAACATGTGAAATGTTAAGTTAAACTGAGCAACAATCTTGTGTCCATCACACGAATGTGAATGATGTGCTATTAGTATTCAGTCACTTGCTGCTAATGTAAGCAGGGCTTCCTCTTAGAATGTGTTTCATAAACCATGATAATATGTGGCTTTTTCATTTCTAGCCTACATCTAGGCTTAAAATGTTTCCTTCCTTTTTATTATGTGCTTTCTTCATTTCTCACAGCATAATGATGAAACTACTGTTTCCTCAAACATTTTAAGAGCCCCACTCTCTCTCTTTTCCATCCCTCACTTTGTTTGACTTCCTGTCATTTCCCCACCTCTTTCATCTCCTCCTCTGGCTTGTCTGTTAACTCTCTCCTCCTCTTTCATTCTTTTCACACTCCTTCTTGTGCCATTCGGTATTCAAAGACGCTGCCTCGCTCAGGGAAAGTCTCATTCAAGCGCCTACGCTTGGTCTGGGGTCTCCCGTTTGCATCCTCCTCTCTTCCGTATCCCCCTCCTCCAGGGGTGTAGAGGCAGAACATGTCCTGTAGGGGGAAGCACACAGACATAGGGTGGATTCAGCTGACAGTTATAGTCACAGGATTACGTGTATTTCTTATTTCTTATGTGACTTATTTCAACAAGACACTCTTTAATAAATGCAGAAGTAATCTAGCACATTATGGTTTCACACGCTTGATAGTATTTGTTTCACACATACGTATCACACAGTCTTACCCCAGGCTGAAGGCTGATGCTGGTTTTGGCTCCCAGGTTGAGGACTCTGCCGTCTACTCTGTGAAGCAGGTTCAGCCCTGCAGCGCCATCCTCACCCCCTAGCCAGCAGAGAGAGTTTAGTGGGAACAGAGTATAAACCGGTGAAGAAAGAAAGATACTACAGTCACTAGCAAAATTATGTCATGCCAAAACCAGATAAATAATCTATCTTTATTTAGTGGGCCAAAAAAACAAGAAAATGGCTGCCGAGTACTTCTGCAGGCAGGTTCAAAGTGTCAGGGTTTACCCAGGAGGCCGTATGGACGGGTGGATCGCCTCTCCGTTAGAACAGACAGAACCACCTTGCTCCTGAACAGAAGTTTACGCATCACACCGTCTCCACCGCAGTATTTTCCTGCACCTCCGGAGCCAGGACGCAGAGAGAACTGCTCTAAAATGACTGGATATCTGAACACCAGATGGACAGCACCAACGTATCAATATCAATCATATTAAAAAAAGACTTTATGCTTCTACAAGTCGCGTCTAACCTTTTCTCCAGAATCTCAGGGTCAGTGATGCGGGTGTTGGTCATGTGACTGTGAACCCCACTCCGCCCATTCCAGCTTGGCCCTGCCCCTGCTCCCCCGGCAACTGTCTCATAGTAACCTATCTTCTCACTGCCAAATGAAATGTTGTTCATGCAGCCCTGATGGAAGAGGAATGACAAATGAGCCAACAACACAAAGAAAACAATAAACAACCACAGTTGAAGTGAAAATCTTTAATGTGTAAATCCAGTTTTTCCTCACCTGAGACGCAGCGCACACCTCAAACGCCCTAAAGATAACATCAACCACCCTCTGGGATGTGAGCACATTTCCTCCAACTACAGCTGCATTCTGGGAAGGCTGGAGGATTGAGCCAGAGGGTATGATGACTCTGATTGGTGCAAGACAGCCCTGCATATGAGAAAAGGAAAGAAGTTGAGTAAAAGTTTACATAGAAAAACAATTACTACACAAACAGCCAAAAGCCAAATCCTTATGTAAAAAACAATTTTAAGAAACCACAGATTTCAATGTCCAGGATTTAAAAGCCTAGAATAAACCACATTACCTGATTAAGGGGAATGTCCTGTCCGACCATGCAGCGCAGGCAGTAGATGAGGGCAGAGAGGGTGATGGCGCGTGGAGCATTGCAGTTCCCCCAAACCTCTGTTCCCGTCCCTGTGAAGTCAAACACCGCACTGCCCTGTGGTGATGGAGGTTTTTGTATTTTATTGCACAGTCACTCAAACAAATGACCTGACTTCTTCTTGTCAGTGAAAGTTCGTCGTGTTTTTATCTTCCTCCTTGCTCACCTCATCTTCATTAATCTGAACCCGCAGCTTGATTGGCGTCCCATCATCCATGAAATCCTCCGACTCCACCTCCAAGGAGCCAGTCTGTTGCCGCCAACGACGTGCAAAGTCTTTCAACATGTCCCTCACCGCCAGCTCTGCATTACTCTGAAACATTTTAACACAAATGTTGTAGTAGTGCCACACCAGCAGTGCTCAATATTTAGTTTTTCTTTTTACACTGTTTAATTTGTAACCACAGTTACCTGAATGTATCCCATGTAGGCCTGGACTACGGCTAACCCGTAGCTGTCAATCAACTCCCCCACCAGCTGGCTGCCTCTCTGATTGGCTGCTACCTGAGCCCGCAGGTCTGACAGGTTGTCATGGAGATTACGAGTCCCAGAGCAGTCTGGGTACTGGGCCGGAGCCATCAGAGCTTCAGTTACAGCTGATATGGAGACAGAGAGAAAAGGCAAGACAGGAATTCAGAGGGAGAAATAGACAAACAACAAAACAGCTCGTAACTACATACAGTATTTACACATATACTCAAGTTTACTTCTGACCACTTCCCAAAGTATACAGTAAGTTTTTAGATTGGCTTCTGACCTTCCAGGCTGCCACTGGTTTGCATTCACTTCAATATGCTAAAAAAATTCAAGATGGGCAATGTATCAGTCACCTTTATTTTTCTTCTTAAAGTTACATTATTGTTAAATTGTAACACAGTCGCGAGCTGTGGCTATTTT